GCCTGGGAAGCATTTTAAACCAGAGTGGATGAATTTCCTGCCTTTCCTCTCCCCTCGCTTCTGGTCTCAAGCCTGGGAAGCGTTTTAAACCAGAGTGGATGGATTTCCTGCCTTCCCTCTCCCCTCACTACTGGTCTCAAGCCTGGGAAGTGTTTTAAACCAGAGTGGATGAATTCCCTGCCTTTCCTCTCCCCTTGCTTCTGGTCTCGAGCCTGGGAAGCGTTTTAAACCAGACTGGATGGATTTCCTGCCTTTCCTCTCCCCTCGCTTCTGGTCTCAAGCCTGGGAAGCATTTTAAACCAGACTGGATTGATTTCCTGCCTTTCCTCTCCCCTCGCTTCTGGTCTCAAGCCTGGGAAGCATTTTAAACCAGAGGATGGATTTCCTGCCTTTCCTCTCCCCTCGCTTCTGGTCTCAAGCCTGGGAAGCATTTTAAACCAGACTGGATGGATTTCCTGCCTTTCCTCTCTCCTCGCTTCTGGTCTCAAGCCTGGGAAGCATTTTAAAGTGGATGCATTTCGTGCCTTTCCTCTCCCCTTGCTTCTGGTCTCAAGCCTGGGAAGTGTTTCAAACCAGACTGGATTGATTCCATGCCTTTCCTCTCGCCTTGCTTGTGGTCTCGAGCCTGGGAAGCGTTTTAAACCAGAGTGAATGCATTTCCTGCCTTTCCTCTTGCCTTGCTTGTGGTCTCGAGCCCGAGAAGCTTTTTAAACCAGACTGGATTGATTCCCTGCCTTTCCTCTCCCCTCGCTTCTGGTCTTGAGCAGAAGCAGTTTTAAACCAGAGTGGATGAATTTCCTGCCTTTCCTCTCCCCTTGCTTCTGGTCTTGAGCCTGGGAAGCGTTTTAAACCTGGATGGATTTCCTGCCTTTCCTCTCCCCTTGCTTCTGGTCTTGAGCCTGGGAAGAGTTTTAAACCAGACTGGATTGATTCCCTGCCTTTCCTTTCGCCTCGCTTGTGGTCTCAAGCCTGGGAAGTGTTTTAAACCAGACTGGATTGATTCCCTGCCTTTCCTTTCGCCTTGCTTCTGGTCTTGAGCCTGGGAAGCGTTTTAAACCAGACTAGATTGATTCCCTGCCTTTCCTCTCCCCTCGCTTCTGGTCTCGAGCCTGGGAAGCATTTTAAACCAGAGTGGATGCATTTCCTGCCTTTCCCCTCGCTTCTGGTCTCAAGCCTGGGAAGCGTTTTAAACCAGACTGGATTGATTCCCTGCCTTTCCTTTCGCCTTGTTTGTGGTCTCGAGCCTGGGAAGCGTTTTAAACCAGACTAGATTGATTCCCTGCCTTTCCTCTCCCCTCGCTTCTGGTCTCAAGCCTGGGAAGTGTTTTAAACCAGACTGGATGAATTTCCTCCCTTTGCTTCCCCCTCCCGCTTCTGGAGTAAAATAAATACTTTCAAAGTAAAGACCACCCAGTGAAACAGGAAATAACACTTTCAAACCATTAAGAAAGGATTCGGAAGTCTCTGAAGTTTCAAAAAGTTTTGAACATTTTTTTCTGTGAAAATCGGAATTGACTTCCGAATCGAACCACCAGCACCTCCTACTGGTTTTGAACCTTTTTTTATCAAACAAGCCTAGTAGACACCTCCAAGGTCATGTGGCCGGCATGACTGCATGGGGCACTGTCACCTTCCTGCCCGAGCGGTACCTATTGATCTACTCACATTTGCATGTCTTTGAACTGCTAGGTTGACAGAAGCTGGGGCTAACAGCAGGAGCTCACCCTGCTCCCCGGATTCAAACCGCTGACTTTTCAGTCAGCACGTTCAACAGCTCAGTAGTTTAACCCACTGCTTTAAAAATGCTTTTGTTCTCTTCTGACTTTTTCACTTCATTTTCATTTTAACGGCTGCAAAAGGGGGTTTAAAGTGCAAAAATAATTTGCATCAATCACTTTGAAAGGCTATTTCCTTCCCTTGGTTTATTTTAGTCCTGAAAAAAATAGTTTTGGAGAGCCAGAACTCTTTATTCCAAAAACAAAAACCAACTGCACATTTTCCCTTCATTTTGACTTTAGCTAGGAATTAAAACTTCACACAATTATACAATCACAACAAATTATTTATTATCACACACTAGTTTCTCAGAGTGAAAAAAAAGTAGTTACGATATATATATAAAGAAGTTTTCTGAAAATTGAGTTTATTGTCTTGTCCATGTAGAAAGAATGGCAATATTTACATACTGGAGAAGCATATTATTATTATTATTATTATTATTATTATTATTATTATTATTAGAAACACAACAAGATGAGACCACCAAACAAGATCACCCTGCTGGGTGTTGCATTGGATCATACGTCGGACACTTCCCAAGTGTCCAGGACTGTGTGATGTATCGGCAGCTGCAGCTGACAGATGGTAATCTTGTCAGTGTCAATTGTGTTCAAGTGCAGGCCAAGGTCTTTAGGCACTGCACCCAGTGTGCCCATCACCACTGGGACCACCTTGACTGGCTTGTGCCAGTGTCTTTGCAGTTTGATCTTTTATTTATTTATTTAATAATAATAATAATAATAATAATAATAATAATAATAATAATGTGTCTAGGACTATTATTTATTTATTTATTTGTTTGTTTGTTTATTTCAAAGTTTTATATACTAAGCTTCTCACCTCATTAGAGGGACTCAGCCTGGTTTCCAATCATAAAAACACATACAATTGGTAAAATATCAAAGTACATAATTACAATAAAACACTGGGAAAGCACATCAATTTAAAACTACAGTGGTCAGTCGTCGTACTAAAATCGAATATACACCGTCTTCCATCCAGAACGTTGTCTCATTCTTCAAAAGCCTGTCTCCACAACCACGACTTCACCTGTTTCCTGAATGTCAGGATTGTTGGGGCGGGAGAGAGTTCCAGAGTCACGGGGCCACCACCGAGGAGGCCCTGTCCCTCGTCCCCACCAGCTGCGCTTGTGAGGCCGGTGGGATTGAGAGCAGGGCCCCTCCAGATGATCTTAGTAATCCTGATGGTTCATAGGGGAGAATACGTTCGGAGAATATGTTATTATTATTATTATTATTATTATTATTATTATTACTGCTACTGCTGCTGCTTGCACAGGTTATTTTTAAAAATTCATTTTTTTAATTGTACAAAATGCATAAGATTGTGGGTGAACTACAACTCACATAATGCCAGGTGAACCCCAAGAAACTCCATTGTTAAGTTGGGCAAGTTTGCTCTAGATGCATCATCGGTGGGGTTCAGTATTCTCTCTGGCTGTAAGGAAAACTACAACTCCCACAATGGCGAGCCAGTCCCCTCAAAGCCTTACAGCAGGTTGAGTTAGTCCTGGGGGATCTGCGTGCCAAGTTTGGTCCATGATCAGTGGAGAGAAAACGCTTACAATATTTCCTAGCCAACAGGTAAAACCTGTTGATTTGCAACCAGGAGCTAACCTTTGTGCCTTGTAATATTTACTCAGACCAGGTTTTCTCTGTAGTTTTTGCTTTCAACTGTCGCTTGGACTGTTGCTCCAGTTAGAAGTGGTAAAACTAACGTTTCAATTCAGATCCAGCCCGAACTGCAGCCCAAGACCTTTTCCTGAGGATCGTTCTTGTTGACCCCTGGGGCCACATTTGACATTACTTTAAAGGTCCTTAAACTGTTTTAAATTTGTTTTGAGTGCCCCTAGTTGTGTTTTATTTCTCAAAAAACCTGTTGAACCACATATGCTCTTTTATTTTAAGCCATGCTGAAGGTCACCTTGGGTACAATATTGGATTAAATGAGATGTGACCCTGACCATCCTCTTGACTACCTTCTAGAGCAGGGATGGGCAAACCCAGGCCAGGGGGCTGGATGTGGCCCCTTTTCTCAGGCCCTCCTCTCTCTCACCATGCTATCCATCCTATCTATCTATCCATCCATCCATCCCATCTATCCACCCATCTTATCTATCTATCCATCCTATCCGTCCTATCCATCCATCCATCCTTTCTTCCTTCCTTACCTCCCTCCTTCTCCCTCCATCCTTCCCTTTCACCCTTTTCTTCCCTCTTTCCTCTCTCTTTCCCTCTCTCCTTCTCCTCCCTTCCCTCCCTCCCTCCCTACATACTCTTCCACCCTTCCTTCCTTACTTCCTTCCTTCCTTCCTTCCCTTTCACCTTTTGTCCTCCCTTTCCTTGATTTTGTCTTTCCGTCCTTCTCGCTTTCCTTCCTCCTTTCTCCCTCCTTTCCTTACCTCCCTTTCTCTCTCTCCCGCTCTCCTTCCCTTTCATCCTTTCATCTTTTCTTCCCTCTCTTTCTCCTTCCTTCTTTCCTTCCTTCTCTTTTGTCTTTCCTTCCTTCTCACTTTCCTCCCTTTATTCCCTTCCTTCCTTCTCTTTTTCCTTCCTCCTTTCCTCTTAACTGGAAGAAGAGAAGGTAGAGAGGGAACATGAGAACCATGTTTCAAGATTTCAAAGGGTGTCCCATTGAAGAGGAGAGTGAAAACTGACTTTGTGCTTCTCTAGAGACCAGGGAGCAATGGTTTCAAATGTCAGGGGAAAAGATTTGACTGAAAAGATTAGGAAGAACCTCCTGGAGAGTGACATAGGCTGCCTAGGAGTGTGGTGGTCTCCTTCTCTGGAGGCTTTTCCGCAGAGGCTGTCTGTCAGGAGTGCTTTGATTGTACCTTTTTGCATAGCAGGGGGTTGGACTGGATGGCCCTTGGGGGTCTCTTCCAGATCTAGGATTCTATATCAGGAGTAGGCAATACGGGGTCTAATGGATACACTTTTTCTCTCCCGTCCACCATCTTATCCTGATCAAGGCCAACCTTTTGGGATCCAAACATTTCCCCTCTTTCCTTCACTTGCTGCCTCTAAAAGAGAAGAGGAAGGGGAGGAAAGGGCTGGGAGGGCGGCACTGGAAAGAATCCCCCTCCCAACCTGCCCACTTCACTCCAGTCTGCCATGCGGCCTCCAAGTCCAAAAGTTTGTCCATGCCTGTTCTAGAGGTTCCAATGGGGGGAGAATATAAATCTTCAGGTGCATCTACACTGTGGATTTAATGCAGTTTGACATCACTTTAATTGCATTAAAATTGCATTAAAACAACACAAGCAAATGGTGCATTGCTAGTTCTCAGCAGGGATCAAGATGCACATGACCATGTTTCTTGGACAAAATATACTACACAAGACATACATTGTTAGCACAGAAAATGGCTTCTGTGCCACAAAGCCACGTGTAAACAGACTACAAAGTTATAGTGAAGACTGTTGCACCTGTCATCTAAGGACCCAAGGCAAGAAATGACTACAAAGCTCATCTGAACATTAGGAAGAACTTCCTGACTGTGAGAGCCGTTCAGCAGTGGAACTCTCTGCCCTAGAGTGTGGTGGAGGCTCCTTCTTTGGAAGCTTTTAAACAGAGGTTGGATGGCCATCTGTCAGGGGTGCTTTGAATGCAATATTCCTGCTTCTAAGCAGGGGGTTGGACTGGATGGTCCATGAGGTCTCTTCCAACTCTATGATTCTATGAAATGATGTGCAATGACACTTTAAAATGATGCTCAGTTGACACAATCACTTCTGAAGCGTGCTACGAAAACAGTGTGCTGCACATTGCGCAGATATCTGAATACAGAATTTTCTATGTACGGCCGGCCCTCCATTTCCATAGATTCACCCATCCACAGCTTGAGAATATTCCACAAACAAATCCCCCAAAACAAACCTTGATTTTGCCAAGTTATATTAGAGATACCATTGTACTGGTGAGATGGAAAGCCAACCATGCAGCATTGGCCATCTTTGACCCAAAGAGTTGGTGGCATGCAGCACATCCCACCCTGCTTTCAACCTGAGCCATTAATTTTGAGTCAGATGAAATGAGAACGGTTTCCTTCCCTTCTTGTTCATCTCCTTCAGATTTGATAGATTAGAGGTAAGAATTGATTAATTCACAGGAAAGCTCCGTCGCACTGCTCTGCCAGTCTCCTCTCCATCGATCAATCTTCCTCGTTCAGGTGCCGAAACTTGAAGTGGACCACCAACATGACCACACCGGTGATGATGCAGAGTGTGCCGCAGACGAGGTAGGTGATGCCCAGGAAGGAATTCTTGCCGCCCATCCAGGACAAGGTGCTTAAGATGATCTTCTTGGAGCCGTTGAACGAGAGGACAGGGTAATTGTAGGTGATGTTGAGGTAGTAGGTGCCACGGGGCAGCACCGTTGAGAAATTACCCCGGTGGATGCGGGAGTAGAGCTTCCGGAACGTGGGCAAGGCAGCCGTGCGCATCCAAACCACAAAGTGCTCGTTGACAAAGCCGACGCCGCTGGTGTTGACGTTGCCCAGCTTGTAGGCTGGGTAAGGCCAGAAGGGAGGCTTGGCGGTGCCCTTGAAGGCCAACGCCAGGCTCTTGTTGACCGGCTCTGGATTACGGAACATAACGTTGGTGTCGGTCCACCAGGAGATGCCCCGCTTATCCATGTCCACAGGCTCCAAAGTGCCATCGCTGAGATCGCGGTAGAGAACAAAGGTGTCGTTGAAGAGGCTGTTGGCAATGGAACCACAGGGCGCAATGGGGACACTGCTACCGTTCTTCTGGTAAGGCTTGCACTCCGTGATAGGGTTGAGGAGTGCCCAGGCATCACCGCTGAGCTGCTCATTGTCCCGGGAGACACTATAGCGCCGGTTGTTCTGGTAGTAGTTGGAGAGCTGGTAGTAGAGGCAGACAGGGGCCGGGAAGTCCACTGGCAGGACGAAGCGAATCCCACAGACGCAAGGACCGTGAGCCGGGTGGGCACTCAGGTTGGCACAGCGGGAGCAATTGGAGATGCCTTCGGAGCCCGGCGCCCCAGTGTAGTCCAGCTCCAGCTCCTGGATGTTCTCCGAGGAGAAGTGGAGGCCCAAGCCGATGGCCAGGAAGGCCATGCCCAAGACCAGGAAGAGTGGCAGTACCGTGCCCGCCGAAAGCAATGGCTGCCAAGCTGGGAGGCGCTGCTGGGTGAAGGCTGTGTTGTCCGGACGATTTTTTGCCGGGTCTGACTCAGGGATAGCGGTGCCGCCTCTGCTGCTGAGGTTGTACGAGCCTGAAGCCATGGCGGACAGCTCTTCCTTTTTATTTGAGTTTCAGAACATAAAGGAAAGGGGGGGGGGGGAGAAAAGAAAGAATGAGAAATAAAGAAAAATATAATATGTTAGTTATGATATAATATACATAATTATTATTTATTATTATTATTAAACTTTATTTGTACCCCGCTAGCATCTCCCGAAGGACTCAATGTGGCTTACAAAGGCCAAGGCCTCAACACACAATACAACAATACAAAACCTAAGGCAAATTAAAAACAATTAAATATAAACAACAGGCAATAACAATACACTAAGACACAATAAAACTGGGCCGGGCCAGAGTAATGGGTACAGGATTAAAAGTGCTGATGTGACGGGAGGTATATAAGGCGTTATAGGGCAAGTGCAGTGTGCGGTGTGTAGCAATCTTAGTTCTAGTAAAATGCTTGTAGGACTTGGTATTGAAGATTACCTAATCCAGGAAGGCACGTCAGAACAGCCAGGTCTTCAAGTTCTTTATGAAGACTGCCAATGTAGGGGCCTGTCTAAGATCTTTGGGAAGTGTGTTCCAGAGTCGGGGGGCCACCACAGAAAAGGCCCTGTCTCGTGTCCCCACCAAATGCGCTTGCGACGCAGGCGGGATCACGAGCAGGGCCTCTCCAGATGACCGAAGTGAACGCGTGGGTTTGTAGATGGAGATGCGGTCACGCAGGTAGGGTGGTCCCAAACCGTCCAGGGCTTTGTAGGTAAGCACTTGCACCTTAAATTGGGCTCAGAAAATAAACGGTAGCCAGTGGAGCTCCTTGAACAGGAGGGTTGACCTCTCTCTGTAAGGGGCCCCAGTTAGCATCCTGGCTGCTGCTCGTTGGACCAGTTGGAACTTCCGAGCCGTCTTCAAGGGCAGCCCCAGTAATCCAATCTGGAGGTGACCAAGTGAGTGTTACCTCACTTATCGCGGGTATTACGTTCCAGAACCACCCGCGATAAGTGAAAATCCGCAAAGTAGGGAGGCTATATTTATTTAAATATTATTTTAATATTTATATAATATTTTAGTAGTTATACACTTTTTAAAGTTTTTATAAGCTTAAAATAAACATTGTTTCTGTTTTATCACGTATTTCTCCTCTTCCTCCTCCCCCTCCCCCTCCCCACGACTCCCCCCTCCTGCCTCCCTGTCAGTGCGGTGGCTGCGAAGGAAGGAAGGAAGGAAGGAAGGAAGGAAGGAAGGAAGGAAGGAAGGAAGGCCCTCCTTGCCTTTCCTTTTGCCAGGTGAAGAGAGAGACAGAGAAAGAAGGAAAGGAAGGAAAGGCCCTTCAAGGCTGGAGGGGGGGAGGGAGGACTGAGGAGGGAAAGCAGCAGTGGCGAAAACCTGTGAAACAGCAGAAATACCGCAATATATATTTTAAATATTTATTGAAAAACCGCGAAAAGTGAGTCCGCTAAAAGTGAACCGCGAAGTAGCAAGGGAACACTGTAATATAATATAATATAATATAATATAATATAATATAATATAATATAATATAATATAATATAATATAATGTTAGTTATAAAACCCTAAGCGGTTCCGGCCCAGTTTACCTGTCTGAATGTAGACTAGTGGAAATCCCATCAGCCATGGATATGGACAAAACTTGGGACACAGACTCCCTCTGACTCACTTTATGTACTGGTGCGGTTTGGGATATAATGGACCATGGATGATGGGATTTGCAGTACCTTCACTCACATCCAGATACAACTGCAAATCCCATTAGCCATGGATATGGTCCAAACTTGGAACACAGACTCTCCGTGACTCACTTTATGTCGTGGTGAGGTTTGGGGGAGGGTGGACCACGGATGATGGGATTTGTAGTATTAAAAATCACATCCAGAGACTACTGCAAACACTATCATCCATAGATATGGACCAAATTTGGCCCACAGACCTCCCAGGACCCACTTTACATCCTGGTGCGATTTGGGGTATAATGGACCACGGATGATGGGATTTGCAGTACCTTCACCCACATCCAGAGACTACCACCAACTCCATCAGCCATGGATCTGCACCCATTTCTAATGGGTCCCTTCGAAACATCAAAAACCGAAAACAAAACAAGCTAGGTATTCATATTTTGCAGACAGCTCTTCCTTACGTTCACAGCTGTATAGCAAGTGGAACATGCTTTTGATATGAGTCTGTTCAAAGAGGCTGGGTGTCTGTCTGTTGGGAGGGCTTGGATGGTGTTCTGTCTGCTGGGAAGAATGGTCTGGGTGGCCTTTGGGGTTTTCTTCCAACGCTAGGACTCTCTGATTGGATCACCTTTGTGGCAGGTGAGCAGGAAAGGAGGAAAAGGGCCACCTGGGTTGGTTGGAAGGCTGGCCGGGTTGGTTAAGGTAAGACTTCCTCCCTTCCGCCTTCCTTTTAGCCCAGTACCTGAGCCATAGGTAGCCCACCACCTTACCTGTCCTCTTACCTGTTGGTGTTGCAACTCTTTCCTGAGATAGAAAGTGAGAGGGAAGCGGCCACTCAACCAAGACCAACTCCCATGGAGCAAAGCGGGGAAAGGAGGGGGACAGTGCTCTTTCCGCCTCTCAGGTAACTCTCACCTGGACTGCCTCGCCCCTCCCCTCTGCAGCAGAGGGTGCATGCGCAGTCAGGCAAGGCTGTGGTTTCATGAGCAGGTGCAGGGAAGGAGGGAAGAGAGAAAGGTGCAGCCAGGTGAAACTCCTCCCAAACCATCTCACACCATCTATCTATCTATCTATCTATCTATCTATCTATCTATCTATCTATCTATCTATCTATCTATCTATCTAAAAATGCTCTGTGCATAATGAGTACCTTAAAAACAAAAGAACCAATGAACAAATTCACAACAAATTTGGCAACAAAACGTCTCACTACACAAGGAGTGACCATCACTCAAAAAATTATGAATTTGTCATTTGGGAGTTGTAGTTGCTGGGATTTATAGTTCACCTACAATCAAAGAGCGTTCTGAACTCCACCAATGATGGAATTGAACCATCATTGGCACGCAGAACTCCCACGACCAGGAGAAAATACTGGGAGGGTTTGATGGGCATTGACCTTGAGTTTTGGGAGCTGTAGTTCACCTACATTCAGAGAGCACTGTGGACTCAAACAATGATGGATCTGGACCAAACTTGGCACTAATTCTCAATATGCCAAAACGTAAACACTCGTGGGGTTTGGGGAAAATAGACCTTGACATTTGGGAGTTGTAGTTGCTGGGATTTATAGTTCACCTACAATCAAAGAGCATTCTGAACCCTGCCAACGATTGAATTGGGCCAAACTTGGCACACAGAACTCCCATGACCAACAGAAAATACTGAAAGGGTTTGTTGGCCATTGACCTTGGATTTTGGAATTGTAGTTCACCTCCATTCAGAGAACACTGTGGACTCAAACAATGATGGATCTGGACCAAACTTGACAGAAATACTCAATATGCCCAGATGAGAACACAGATAGAGTTTGGGGGAAATAGACCTTGACATTTGGGAGTTGTAGCTACTAGGATGTATAGTTCACCTACAAAAAAAGAGCATTCCGAACCCCACCAATGGACATCCCCCACAGAACCCTCATGACCAACAGAAAATTCCATGTTTTCTGGTGGTCTCAAGACCCCTGGTGACACCCCCCCTCCCCCGGGTCTTGACTTCCGAGGTTGAGAAATGCTACCTTAAGGCCATCCAGTCCAACTCCCTTCACTAGGGCAAGAAAACATAATCAAAGCCCTCCTGACAAAGGGCCATCCAGCCATTCCCACACACACATATGTATATATGTGTGTGTATATGACAAATGCAGTATCAAAGATTTGAAAAGGACCCTTAAAGAAGGACCATGATATGTTGCATGTTCCAGGGTGGGCAAACCAGACAATCTCCACATCAACAGTTTCAAAGAAATAGCAAGAAATACTGTTTACCCGCAAGCAGAAAGACATTACATATATTAGAAACCAACACTTTCTCATTACTTTATTTTCCAGATCACCAGACTGGGCCACAGCAACGCGTGGCGGGCGACCGCTAGTGTTGTATATACGAACTGCATCAAAGGCCCCTTCCACACCGCCATACACAATTCAGATGCTCTGCTCTGAACTGGATTATTATTATAATTTTTTAGGCAATCTCTCTATGTCCAAGTAGGATGGTCTTCCAAGGTCAGCGATCTGGTGGTGGGTCCGTAGATGACTGTGGAGCCCTATTCTTGATCTGCATCTTCTCCCACAGTGAGGGCATTGGTTTCCAGGTGGAAGGCAGTCTCAGTCAGGGTTGGCTTGATGTGCCTTCCTCTTGGCACATTTCTCTCTTTCGCCCTCTATTTGTGCCTCTTCAAATTCTACAGCACTGCTGGTTACAGTGGGGTTCGGAATGCTCTTTGATTGAGGACATTGGTTTCCAGACGGAAGGGGGTCCCGATCAGAGTTGGCTTGACACGCCTTCCCCCTGGCACATTTCTCTCTTTTGCCCTCAATTCATGCCCCTTCAAATTCTACAGCACTGCTGGTTACAGCTGACTTCCAACTGGAGCTCTCAAGGAACAGGGCTTCCCAGTTCTCAGTGTCTATGCCAGAGTTTTTAAGGCTGGCTTTGAGCCCATCTTTAAATCTCTTTTCCTGCCCTCCAACATTCCATTTTCCGTTCTTGAGTTTGGAATAGAGAAACTCTAAACACTTTTGCAGAAGCATACGAGAAGCTCGGCCCGTCATTAAACTTTGAGAAAACCAAAGTGCTCTCCCAGCAGGCACCAGCCAATCCCTCTCCAATGCCAGAAATACAGCTTAATGGTGTAACATTAGAAAAGGTTGACCATTTCCGCAACCTTGGCAGCCACCTCTCCACCAAAGTCAACATTGACACTGAAATACAACATCACCTGAGCTCTGCGAGTGCAGCATTTTTCCGAATGAAGCAGAGAATGTTTGAGGACCGGGACATCTGTAGGGATACCAAGGGGCTTGTTTATAAAGCTATTGTCCTCTCAACCCTGCTATATGCCTGCAAGACGTAGACTGTGCTGTCGCGCGCTGGGCCTATAGCAATTGGCTCCAGCAGAGAAGAGCTCTTTGCCCCACCCCAGCCATTCCACAGATATATAAACCCATTGTCCTAATTCCAAAAGACCTCACTCACTACCTCTGAGGATGCTTGCCATAGATGCAGGCGAAACATCAGGAGAAATGCCTCTAGAACATGGCCCTATAGCCCGAAAAAACCCACAAGAACCTAGTGATTCCAGCCATGAAAGCCTTCGACAATAAATTGGCTTTTGAACAGGACGTGCTCTTTGTGCCCAGCGGGAAGCCGAGGTGCCTCGAATGAGAGGCCCTATGGGTTTTCCTATACAAACTCTTTAGACGCTTAAAAGTTTAACAAAGTTCTTTATTATTGCTTAGGTCTTCAACAAACAATCTTAGATCTTCAACAAATCAAACAAATGCTTCTTAACTTGTCTACAATGGACAGGCAACTTGCTTGGAGAACTATTTCTTTCCTTTACGAGGAAAACCCTTTTTGACCCCTCCTTGGGCAATCTGCTTTCTAGGCTTTGCTGGTGTGGGCCCTACTCCTGGCTCCAAATTGCTTCTTGGGTACCCGAGTAGACCTACCAGCCAAGGCTCTGAAGAATTTCCAGCTGGAGTCCTTAGCATTTTTCCCACGAAAGTTGTAGTTCCGTTTCTCCAACCCCAACAAGGGTTGTGCTGTAAAGCTGTTTCTCTTAAAAGCCTTTCTTTGGAGACTGTTATTAAAGTTCTGAGGCTGTAAATTCTCCAGCCAGAGCTTTTGGGACTGTTTCCCCCTGAACTTTGTAAGAAACGAAGCTTCTCTACAGGTAGAAAACTTTCACGTCCTGTAGCTGAGCTTCCAACTGTAAGACTGAACTAAAATGGTTCCCTTTCCCTCCTGAAACTGGAAAAAAGGGCGGAACTAAATGATAATAGACAGGTGGCTAGCCCCATGACTGCAGCCTAGCAGGAACCATCCAACTGCAAAATGCATGGCCAGAACAAGCACATGCAAACGCTCAAAGAACGAAAGGGAGTTTGGAGCTCCTGGTACAGCCATACCAGCACATGGACAGTCTACAGACGTCACATGCAACTCCTGGAACGATTCCATCAGCGCTGCTTCCAGAAAATCCTGCAAATCTCTTGGGAAGACAAGCGGACAAATGTCAGTGTGCTGGAAGAAGCAAATCATATAGAGTCGCTTTTAGGAGGATCTCCCCGGCCGAGGTGATCCCGAGGACCGCACCAAAGAGGGTCCTGGAACCTTGGTGAGGGCAGCGAAGCCAATTCCAGTAGCGAAAATATTAAAATAATAAATCCCCACCAAAGCGGAAGAAGCTGGGACCGAGGTGTCTTTATTAGCGATTCAGCTGAGATTGGATGCATTGTAGGAATAGTTCCACTATAAGCATAGCAATACAGAATTTACAGGCATTTTTATAGGCAAAATACAGGTTTGAAAGTTTCAAAACTCCCTCCCTCTTCGGCTCCTTAGCAAATCAGGGAGAGGGAGGCAGGACGGAAGAGTTGCATTGTTTTGGCCAGCAAAGAAAGAAAGGCTTTCCTGCCTTAGATCTGATAAGGTGTGTCTTCTGATGGATTTTGACAAAGGAACAAACAGGGACCCCTGGGGTAGTCCTTGTCCCTTTGTGATTCAATCAAAATGTCCAAAGAAACTTCCTTTGCCTGCCAGACAAAGAGCAAACAAGAGGATGTTTCAGCTTGCTATTGTAAAATGGTTGATGATTTGGTTGGTTTTGAGGAAGCTTGGCTCTCCCTCAGGCATTGTAACAGTCCTAGGTCCCATTTTTCTAGGGCAAAAGTCGGGGGGGGGGCAAGACAAGGGGCAAGCAATATTTCATAGCAAGATACATACATTCAAATCATAAGCATTTCATAGCAACAAAACCCCATCTTTGTCCCACATCCCAAGTATATTTAATAAGAGGATTAATTTTCATGAAGAAGCCTGAAGTCCAATGTTTTAAAAGGTCTTTGAGGAAAGTTCATGAGGGAGATAGTATGTACTGAAGTCCAAGACATGCAGGCAGAGAGTCCATGATCATTGGGAAGGCTGGCAGATGAAACCCCAGCTGTGCTGCAACTGATTCACACTTTGGTCCTTGGGAAACTACAACTCTCACAAAGGGCAGAAGTCCCAAGATCCAGCCGTTTCCCAAAAGCCTCGTGGGGTCCTTGTTGTTGTCAATGCCTTGGCAATGTGACCAAGACTTAACCCCTATTGCGCAGTCTGGTACCTTTGTCCTTTGCAGAACTATAAGTCACTATCCCTTATTTGGGGGGGGGGTGCTCGACATCACAAAGACCACCAGCATTGAAGCGATGGTCCTCCACCATCAACTCCGCTGGACTGGCCATGTTGTCCGGATGCCCGACCACCGCCTCCCAACAAACTGCATGACAATACTAAGCGGCCACGTGGCCATTTCTGATGTCAGTTTCTCAATTTGTTTCTGTTTCTGGGAATGATGCAGCTTGTGCCTTTCCATTGGAAAATTTCACATTTTAGTCATGAATGCTACACTTGTTTTTATGTTCAAGAAAG